TAGTGCAGCGTGGGGTGCGCCCATTCTGTGGCTGTGCTGCTCAGCAGTGCTGGATGGCGGCGCGCTCACCCGCAGCCACGTCGCCCCCGCACCCCACGCTGCACCACACCCAACGCTGCACACGTCACACGCCACTACCGCACACACACACACACACACACACCACCACCGCAGCCACGCGCATAGCGCACACACCCCGGCAGGCGCGTGCCTGGTGCCAGCAGGATGGCGTGCAGGCGGGGCGCCTTGGAGGTGGGCAGGTGGGAGGAGAGGATGTCGTCCAGCAGCATGGAGCCGGGCTGCGGTATGGGCAGCAGAACAGGCAGCGGTACATCAAGCAGTACACCAGGCAGTATGTGTACGTGCATCACGTGTGTACGTACATCATGACGGGACAGCGTGACGGCACAGCATGGCCGGCTGCGACAGCGTGCCTATGCGGCGTGCAGGCCCCACAGGCAGCCGTGCTTGCGACCGGCGCACCCTCTGCAAGCACGCGCGGCGCACCTGCCCCTCCTGCCCCGCCGCCGCCAGGTGCGCCGCCGCCAGCTCAGGCACGCGGCTCAGCACCCCCACCACCTCCACAACATCGTTCAGCTTCACCTCAGCATCATCGTACACCTGCAGGCAGGCGCACGGGGGGCGGCGGCGCAGCCGCAGGGGCTTGGCAGGCAGGGCTGCAGCCGGCGGCAGCAGCTGCAGCAGCAGCTCGCAGAATGCATGCAGCCAGCCTTCGGTTCCACCGCTGCGCTCCCATGCTACGCAGCTGCGCTGTGGTGCATGCGCCAGGGCGGCGCGGCAGGAGCTGCGCTGCTGCTGCCGGCGGCGACGCGGCACATCTGCACACACCCACGGCTTGCCAGCCAGGAGCAGCCAAAGGAGCCCGGCGCCGCGGCGGCTGCCCCCTGGTGCATGCCGCGAAGCACCCCAGCGGCGCTCCCGCAAGCCGCACCGCCCAGCGCTCACGTAAGCCATGCAGCAGCCGGGCGGCAGGTCGGCGGCTGGAGCGGCCGCCGAGCTGCTGGCCTCCTGGGGCTGCCCGCCGGCCGCGCCTGCACCGGCGGCGCGGCGCGCGCGGCTGGCGGCGCTGTCTCCGTCGTCTGCCGTGGTCTGCCCCGTGGCATCCGAAACCATCATGCTGACACTCTCGCTGTCGCCGCCGGCGTCCTCGCGTGGGCGCTTGGCGGCGGCGGCGGGCGCCGCCGCGGGCGCCACCGTCGCCAGCGAGGCACGCGCGACGGCGGCGAGCGGCGCCGCCGCCCACCCGCTCTCCCCGGGCACCGGCGCCAGCAGCAGCGGGCGGCGCTCGGCGATGCGCGACTCGCCGGCGCCGCCGCCCAGCGCGCCCTCCGGCAGCGGCTCTGCCAGCTGAGGGCAGGGGAAGGCGGGCGGGCGGGCGGGCGGGGTGGGCAAGGGGAGGAAGGGTCAGGCATGGCAGGCATGACAGGCGGCGTGGGCAGCAGGCAGGCAGCCCTTCTCGCCTTGCACCGGCGATGCCCAACAGCTTAAAGAGAGGAGGCAGGCAGGCCCGGCTGACCCCAGGCGGCGGCCCTGTGCGGCATGCCCACAGGGCAACAAGGCAGCGCCAGGCCGCCTGGGCGCCGCGCTGCCTGCCCTCCTGATTCCCCCACCGAGCTGGGTGCGCCGCGCCGGGGACCGCCATCCTTCACACAGGATGGCTTCCCCCACCAACGCGCACCGAGGCAGCACCCACCGACCCGCGCCGCGCCGGGAACCGCCATCCTTCACCCGCGTGCCCCACCGAGGCGCACCCAGGCAGCACCCACAATCACCGAGGCAGCACCCACCTGGTCGGCATACTTGGCGGTTGCCCAGGAGCCGTCGGGGCGGCGGTACTCGCCCACGTAATACTCGGGGTTCAGCATGTCTTGCACCTGCGCGCACGCAGCCAACACGCTCGCGCTGGTGAGCCCCAGGAAGGATGCAAGGGCTCCGGCGGCGGCGGGCGGGAAGCGGAGGGAAGCCGGCGGCGGGCGGCGGAGGGCGCTGGACGCTGCTGCCGCCTATGCGGCGATGCAGGGCAATCACGCAAAGGTGGCGGAGGGGCGGCTGGTGGGCAGCAGGACTCACGATGCCCCTGAACCTGACCAGGCACTGGTTGGGCAGCAGCTCCACCGTCTCCTCCGTGAGCACGGGCACCTGCAGCCAGCATCCGGGCGCATTGGCGGGCCGGCACCTACACCACCCGCATGCGGTGCACATTTGAATGAGCTCTCGCCTGCGCAGCCAGCTGCGGGTCGGCCAGCAGCGCGCTGAACCGCTCCTTGACGCCAAAATCGCCATCTGCAGGCTGGCCGACCGCCTGCGCTGCGTAGAGGCTCCTGATGAGCTGCAGGGGCGCCGTGATGGCCTCCATCGCAGCAAAGGAAGGTTGGAAGCTGGTCTGATCGCAGCAAGGAGGTGCCTGGCATTGGGCCCGCCGCAATTGGTGACATGCCGGCATCGCCGCCACCTGGCAGTTGCCGCTTCCCCGCTGTCGTTGACCAGCCTGGTAAACACGGCAGCGCTCCCCGCTTTCCCTCGCCAATGATGCTGCGGCCTGCGTGTCGCAAAGCCAGGAATGGCCAGATCATGGCAGGCAAAGTTTGCCGCAAACTGTGGTTGTCTGCCAGCTGGGTGGCGCTCGCATTTCACTGCTGCCTGGCCGCCGCCTCGGGCGCTACGCCAGCGTCAGGAGTTGATGCTGTGTTCATCTGTGGTTCCAGTTCCTGTTGTGGTGTGGCCAGTAACATGCCTTGGAGGAAGATGAAGGAGGCAGGGCTGGCCTTGCCCCCGGCATGCCTGATTCCCCTTGCATCTCACCCCCGCCCCGCCCGCCCATGTACTGCCGCCGCCGTACTTCCCGTCCCTTCCCCGAGGCATAACCATCGGCTCCCCCACTTCTGCACTGTTGTCCTTCCTCCCTCCCGCCCTCCTCGACGCCGCCAAAGCCGCGGTCAAGCAGCTCTCCAGCAGCAGCAGCAGCAGCAAGCATGCGCCGCGCCGTCTGCCTTCTGCTGGGCTTCCTGGCCCTTGGGGCGGTTGTGGAGGCCAGCCGGCTGAGCGACGCGCTGGACGAGATCCCGAAAGTTACAGCGGACGATGGTGGGCGCCCCCTCGTCTGCCCGGCCCCTGCCCGCCCCGAAACGCGCCGGGGCCGCTGCGCGCCTTGTTGATGGGCTGCACGGGCTCTGATCACCGCGCCTGGGGCCATGCGGCAGGCTGCGGTGCGGGCAGGCCGATGTGCAGGCGGCGTGATGACCGAGGCACCCGCTCCCCTGCCCTCCTCCCCACCCCTCCTGCCCCCGCAGTGGCCAGGGTGCTGAAGGACCTGCACGACAGCATCCAGCAGCACGCCAAGGAGGCCGCCGCCGCGTTTGCCGCCAAGCACCCCGGCGGCGTGGTGGACAAGCTGCTCGGCGGCAGCAAGCGCCGCCTGCAGACCATCGGCCAGGTGCGCCAGGGTCTGACTTAGGTACCAGCCAGGAGCCTGCTCTGGGCTGCCTCCCCACAGCCGCCTGCATCTGTGATCGCTCGCCAACAGCCCCGCACGACCGCGCTGTCCCTGCTCACACCACCCCTTGCGGCCCTGCCCTGCCTGCCTGCCCGCTCACCCACGCGCAGAGCTTCCAGAGCTGGCTGGAGGAGTTCTACGGCACCAGCTGGCAGGAGTATGTGCCCGAGAACTGGTCCCTGCCCTCCTTCGACTGGTCCAGCCTGGGCGAGTTTGGTGAGGCCGCCGCCGCAGACGCCGACGCCCCTGCCGCCCGCCCGCCCCTGCCTGCTGCTCTGGCCGCGGCTGCTTCCCCCAGCCTCTATGCTGCCCCGGACTCCCACCACCGCCGTGCCTGCTGTGCTGCCACCAGCCAGGCCTGCCAGCCAGCCCATCCTCCTCCCGCCTGTGCCAAAGCCCCCCGCGCCCCGCCTTCTCACCACCCCGTCCCCTGCGCAGCCCTTAACTCCCCCTCCACCTCCCCCCTGCCCCCTCCCCACCTGCTGCAGACTACTCCAGCAACCTGGGCGACTTCATGGCCGCCAACGACCTGCACAACACACCCGCATCCACTCGATGCAGGACCTGGCCGCCGCCGCCGCCGCCATCGAGGCCGCCTTCTGCGAGCCCGAGGGGTGAGGCGCCGCCCGCCCGCCAGCCCGCCTGCCCGCCCGCCTGCTGCCGTCAGGTGCCAGCCCCGGCCGAGGGACGACGCGCCGGGGCAGCGCCCCGGGCTGGCGCGCGCCAGGGCCAGCAGCGGGGGGGGAGGCCGGAGGTGGCGCGCCGCTGCCGCCGCTTCCGACCGCTCGCCTTCCAACCGATCTGTGCCTGGCCCAGCCCCTGCCTGGCCCAGCTCCTGCCCTGTGAGCGCCTGTCCCTTCTGCCTGCCAACAAGTGCAGCAGCTATGGCTCCATGCCTCTCACCGCTCTTTTCCTCGTGCCTCCCCTTCCCTTCCCCGCAGCTTCGCCCCCGCCGCCAAGGTGCCCGCCTCCTGCTCCGGCCCCACCGTCACCATCTCCCTCACCCCCAAGACCTGCGTGCTGGAGGCAGCCACCAAGCAGGCGAGCCCGTAGCCAGCCAGCCAGCCGGGCGGCGTGCCGCCAGCAAGCCAGCCGGCCAGCACTCCCCCCGGCCATTGGTGCTCAGCGCCCGCAAGGATGCCCAGCCCGGGGTATCAGCCCTGCCCTGCACCTGCGTGCTCCTCTCCTCCAGCCTTGCCCCGACCTGCCTGCTCCCCTCCCCCTCCTCCTCCCCCTCCCCTCCCCGTGCGTGTGCGTGTGTGGTGCAGGTGGTGTGCGACCCCGCCAAGCTGGTGCTGACCAAGAGCCCCGGCTCCTGCACCCACAAGTACATCAGCGGCTCCGCCTGGAAGGGCAAGGTGGGCGACGGCGTGGGCGGACGCGCGGCCTGGGAGCTGGGCAGCGCTGGGCTGCCGCGCCACGCCACATGGCCTGCCGGCTTGCTCGCCTGCTTGCTGGCATGCCTGCCCGCTCTCCTTGCCAGCCCCGCAACACAGCTCTCGCCGTTGCAGCCGCCTGCTCCGCAACCTGCCCTGCCCCCAGCACACCCCCACATACCCACAGCCTTGCCTGCCCCCCGCCCCCTCCCCGCAGGAGTGCAAGATCTCTGGCGGCGCCGGCTTTGCCAAGAACGCGACCATCGGCGGCGGCATCAAGGAGATCCCCATGGTGGACCTGACCATCGACTACGAGCCGTAGAAAGAAAGCAGGAAGGAAAAGAAAGCAAGCGAGCGCAGCAGCATGCAGCAGCACTGACCCTGTGCCCCTGGCGCGGGCCGGCGTGGGGCGCTTTGCGCCGTGCTCCTTTCCTCTGCCCCGCCCCGCATGGCGGCTGCCGCCCCCGCGGGGCCGCGCCGGGCACCCACTCGTTGACTATTTGACGGCAGGCGTCCTGCCCCTCTCGATTCGCTTTGGCGGCTGAAGCCCATTTCTTCCTGGTTTAGCCTGGTGTTGTGCCGGCGGCAGAGGGGCGGGAAGCGCGTGCCCATGCTGTCCCCTCGCCGCCGGCCGAATAGCACTCTGTTCCTCTCCATCCTATACCACTTTTTGCACTTGGCCTCGTTCCTCAGATTGAACTCCTATTTAGCTGCTTGTGTAAGATTCTTCGGCGGGCGGGTGCCTCCCCGAGGGGCCAGCGCTGGTGGGCGCGCAGCAGCCGGTTCGTGAAAGGCTGGGCTGGCGCTGCAGCCCAAGTTATCAGCTTCCTACGCACAATCTGTGGCGGTCCTTTACAAGGTCCCTTCCAATGAAATCAGAGGGCCAGTCACTAAGCAAATCAGTAGGCAAGGTGCGGAATGGGGGTGAATGAAATGATTCACGGCGGGAGGGCAGGTGCATGGTACAGGAGAGATGCAGGACTGCCACCTCGGCTTGCCCAGCACCAGGGACAGGTCACTGGCAGGCGTACAGGTCGGGCGCCATGCGGTTCACGGCGGGGCTGCACTTGAGGGGCGGGCAGCAGGCGTCCGACATGTCTGGGCTGCACGGCTTGTTCATGAACTCTGCGGGGTCGCAGTCGGCTGCCAGCTTCCCCAGCGGCATGCCGCTGCCTGCGGGCTCCGGAGCAGGCGCCGCCTCGTCGCCCGCGGCAGGCGCGGGCGCCAGCGCCAGCGCCTGGCGAGCCTGCAGGGGAGGCCGGGGCGCGGCGGGCGCATGTGTGAGCGGGTGGCGGGTGGCGCTGGCGGCAAAGTGGCAAGGGCAGCCCGACCACCCAGCTCGCGCGCGCCTCACCTGGGTTGCCACTAGGAGCGAAGCCAGCATGAGTGCGAGGCAGCAGCGCGCTGAGGCGCGCATGTAGGGCATGGTGAGACTCACGCCTGGTCACAAGCGGGCCAGAAGTCGGGGACGGGAAGATGGTGCGATAAATAGCAGCAGGCTGGCGCCTGCGTTGGTGGTGGCCAGCGCAGAAGCCGCTGTACAGGTACTGGCGCCGCCGCCGCCAGGTCACCGTTGTGGCGCTTGCAGCACTGCACCCCATTTTGTTCAGTGAGTTACAGAGCTTTGCAGACAGCGCCCCGGCAGGCATGCGCTCCGCCGAATCATTCGGCAGCGCAGCCTCACAATGGGGCGGGCAGGCGGGCAGGCAGAGCGTGCCCGCCTGCCGACAACGGCGCACAGGGAACGCTGCGGGCGGGGGAAAACCAGCTCGAGGAACGCAGCATCCTGGGCCAGGCAGGGAGGGCATCAGGCCTCCACACTCGGGCAGGGAGGCTGCAGCTGGGCGCCGCCGCTGCCGCCGGCGCGGTGGCCGCGCGTAGCCTCCTCCCGCCGCCGCCTCCCGCGGCCCCTGCGGGCGCGCCCGCCTCAGCCCGCCAGCGCGGTGGCACCGGAGATGATTTCGATGAGCTCTGTGGTGATGGAGGCCTGGCGCGTGCGGTTGTACGTCAGCGTCAGCTGCACCCAGGGGCGGCGCAGGGGGGGCGGGAGCATGGAGGCCGCACGTCAGGGCGGCGCTCGGGGGCGGTGTTCGGGTGGTGGTGGCATGCGGGCGCTCGGGGGCAGGCGCTGCGGCCAGCACGCCCGCGACGGCCCTCCCCAGGCCTCCTCCGCAGCCTCCCTTCCTAGGCATCCTTCCCCTTCATAAACTCCATGTCGACCCTCCCTCCCCAGTCCTCCCTCCCCATCTCCCGGCCCTCCCCCCACACCTCCCGGCCCTCCCCCCACACTTCCCGGCCCTCCCTCCACCTCCGCCCCAGCCCCCCCCCACCTTGCCCAG